GTAAATCCCCTTAGCTTAAGGATTACAGTATTCTTGGTACATTTTAATAAATATAAATATATATATATATATTGGGTGCTGGTATAGCTATATAAAAAGGCTTGTCTAAATATGACTTGCTTTTTCCATCCTACATGTCTGTACATGAGGAATTTGTGTTAATAAACGGAAAATGTGCCTTTGATGCATATGCCATGTACTTATGTACTTACTGGTCCCTGGCTATGGTAAATCACACAATAAAATACATTGGAAGTATTTTAAAAAATTATCTATTTTTTTTTTAAAGCTAACTGCTCACAAGATTAGTGACAAACTAAAATAAAAGCAGAGTGGTTGTACAGAGTTTGACAGATTCATGTTTTTGACTGCTCTATGTGATACTAAATTTTTATGCAAGTCACAAACACATTACTCCTATTCGTTACATACTGTATACAAATTTTGGGTTTCTCTTCCTCCCTTTTGTTCCTTGAAATGAAAAACCTAAGTCGCTAATCTTGGTAGATATTACAGTAATTCTAAGGTATATAATATCTTGGAATATGAACAAGTTCAAAGGCTACTGGCAAATTATAAAACCAGCGTTGAATGTAATGAAACGACGTTTTCTGTGTGAGTCCCGGAAGCTCACCAGAGCAATCCATGGCTGATGTGGATACCCTAACTATTTTGCATCAGTCGATGTGGGTGGAGTTCTAGCCTACCAGGAACCACGAGCCAGAACCTGGCCCCCTCAGAGGCACGGGGAGCAATGGCCCATAGAAATGCACATGTAATTTGGAGCATTCTATATCTGCCATCGACCGGGACAGGCACCCAGAAAAGTAAGTGCCACAAAACAAATCCCTATTCTGGTTAACAATGAAAATCGTCAAACTAGTGGACAGAACTCCCCAAAAGAAAAACAAGTAAACAAGCATGACATCACACGAGCTGCGCTGCATTTCTGTGCAGCTCCCCCCTCTCCCCCAGGTTGGGAAAGGGGAAGCCCCAGATCCTCGCGCTGGCGATCCCCGCCCCAGTTCTGAGGCTGGATATAAAAAATCATAAAAAAAACGCAGACTGGAGGGAGGGAGAGTTGCCGGGGAGCCTCCGGGACTCACAGAAAATGGTGTTTCATTACATTCAAAGCTGGTTTTACTTCCCCAAAGACTACAAAAGAAAAAGGGGACTTACCCGGGTGATGGTTGGTGCTCCACTCCTCAACTCGAAGTCGAGACAACGGGCTGCAACTGCCGACCCAAAGCAACACAGGCCTGACTGGGCCCAGGAACGTTCACAAGGTAGCGTGCAGCCAGGACCCTGTTTGACTATCAAAAACCCCATGCCCGAATGTCAGCCCAAGACACATTGCCAAAGACGGCAGCAAGAGCAGCAAACTTACGAACATCATGGGCATGGGGATAGACCGCAGGCTGGCTAGATTTAATAACCCTGCGGACGACCTGAGAGACCCGAACCCGTGAACAAGAAAGAAGGGAAACCGGATCAACCCAAAGCGCGTCCCTGTACACAGAAGCCGTGGCGCACAGATAACGGCGGAGGGTCGCAACTGGACACAACACATGGTGAACCCCTGGCCTGACAAACTAAGCATCAACAACCCAAGGACCCCACCTGAAAACAGCAGTCTCATTCTTCGCCAGAAAAGAGGGAGATGGCTGCAGACGAACATACCTATGACCACGACCAAAGGAGCAAAAACCTCTGCGATTGAGAAGAGCATGAAGCTCCGCCACACAACCCGCAGAGGCCAATGGCAACAGAAAAAGATCCTTAGCAAAACAATCCTGGACCGAAGGGGGCCACAACAAACCGAGGAGAAGAAAGATAAGAGAGCACTCTGTCCAAAGACTAGGATGGCTCAGGCGGCGCATGAGCAGGCTGGAGGTGAAACAATGCATGAGACAGCTTGCGAAACAGTGCAGAACTAACATCAATACCGAAAACAAGCTGCAGCGGCTACGACAGTGCTGCATGATACGAGGCGACAGTATTAGGCATGAGATGACGGTCCTGGAACAACCAAGAGAGAAGGGACGACACCACCTGAACCGAAAGCAAAGAGCAACGACAAAGGGACAAAAAGAAACGGAAGGAGCGCCAGGAAACTTCATACTGCCGCTGAGAGGAAGTCAGCAGGCGGAAAACCAACAAGGAAGCCACCTGATCACCATAGAGATGGTGATAAATACGAGTCAAAAACACCAAACATGAAGACTCGCAGAGAAGAGCAAACCAGTCTCGTACTGGACCGGGCCAATCTCCTGAAAGAAGCGGAGCCGCAGAAAAACCTCAGGGGTTCAGACACCAGGCAAGCAGCGCCTGAAACCACGGCTGGGCCGGCCACCACGGGGCCAAGTGGACTACTCGCCCCTGGTAAGTCTCCAAGCGAGCCAGGACCTGGAGCAACAGCTGAACCAGGGGAAAGAGGTACAGGAACCTCCACCTCGACCAGTACTGCCGAAAGGCGTCGATCCCGACAGCCTCACAGTTGGGGAAGGGCGCCACGTAAACCGGAAGATGCCTCGACCACGCCAACGCAAAGAGGTCCACCTCCGGGCGCCCAAACGTCCGGCAGAGCCAACTGAAGGAGTCGGCATCGACCATCCATTCCGTGGACAGGGGAACGAACCTGGACAGGCAGTCTGCCAGGACGTTGGACACCCGCCAGATGTGAACTGCCAGGAGAGCCAAACCCAGAGAACTCAGCAGACGAGTCACCTGAAATGACCAACCCTGAGAACTCAGCAGATGACCCAACTCAGCACCCAAAGCGACCAACCCCAAAGAGCCAAGGACCACATCGAACCCCCTCTGTCCAAGCAATGAACCACCGGGAAGCAGTCCAAATGGAGCCGGATCGTCGATCCACGGCCAACCTGACCCCTCCGAAGCACAAACCACACTGCCGCGAACTCCCGCACCGTGCTGTGGACCCGACGGAAGGACGGACCCCACAGCCCCTGGTGAGCACTGGTCACAAAGTCCCAGCCGAGAGACGACGCGTCCGTGAACACATTGAGCGAGGGCTCGGGAAGGCGCCAAGTCACCGAACCCCGAAAAACCAGAAGAGGAAGCCGGCGACCCAGCAGCCGTCACAAAGCCCTCGGGGGCGAACCCAGAGATCGCGAGAGAGGCGGAAGGGACGTCCCCGAAGGAACCACAACAGCCGATGAAGCCAAACCCGACCCGGCGGGTAGACCAACATCGCAAAGTTCAGGCTCCCTCACAGACCCTTGAGCAAACGCCAGGTGACCCCGGAGCCCCCCCAGAAACAGACACAGGCAAGACCGCAGCTGAAGGAGAGACTCCGGATGAAGAGACAAGGAAGCGATCCGAGAGTCCCACATAAGACCCAGCCAGGACCGAACCTGGGAGGGAACCAGATGGGACTTCTGCCAGTTCACCAAAAACCCGAACCTGGCGAGCTGGGAAAGTACCAAATACCTGGCGAGCAGACACGCGGATCGATTGGGAGCCCAAACCAGCCAGTTGTCGAGGTAAGCCAACACCCAAACACCAAACAGACACAGTTGGGCCACCACGACCCGGGTAAGGCGTGTGAACACGCGAGGTGCCAAATTCAACCTGAAAGGAAGACAACGAAAGCAGTAGCACTGATGCCCCACAACAAAACCGAGCCAGTCCCTGAACCCCAGATGAATAGGGACGTGCCAATACGTGTCCTTGAGGACCAGGGACACCATCCAAGCGCCCAGCTCCAACAGAAGCCGGACCTGGGATAGAGTGGTCATCCGAAATGAGGGGCAAGAAACTCAATGGTTCAGATGGGAAGAGTCCAGAATAAACTGCAGGTCTGCACAGTCCCATTTCGGAACTGGAAACAGGCGGGAAACCCACCTGAGGGACGTCGTTGTTTCGACCACACCCGAACGCACCCACTCCAAGATGACCCGACAGAGCGCAGGAGAGGAAGCCTGCCCCGTCAGCCCTGAACCCCCCAAAGAGGAAGCCACCCAACGCCACTGCAGGCAGCGAGAAACAACCCGAAACACCCACAAATCGTGAGACCAGGCGTGAGAACCTGAGAGCCCCGTAGGGTTTTCTAGGGCCTTTAGACTGGGTCTGCTAAGGGTTATCCCAGGCAGGGTACTGCTAACCGATGCCCCACCCCAACTACCAACCAAACTGCTCAAAGCTGAACCCACAGGACGTGTCCACTCACGAGGGCTAAGCAGGGGGTGCCACCACACAAAAACGACCCTAATATAATGGGGGAGGGAAAAACACAAGGCAAAAACAAAAAGAAAAGAAAAACCATGCAAGTGGACAAAGTACCCAGAGGGAACAGAGCCGGCCGCAGTTATAGGTGAAAACTAGCTACGCAGTATCCCGCGCCCCACCAGTGCTATAACTACCACTTACCCCAAGGTAAACAAGGGAGGAAAAACCCCAAACACTCGGAGCGGCCAAACGTCAAGCAGTGAAAGGCCAGCGGAGGTAGACCCAAGGCGACTTGTGGAAGGTAACCCCAAGCCCCAAGGGCGGTACTTACAGGGCACTCAGGGAAGGTGATCCCTAAGCACATGCAGCCCGAGTACCTGAGAATAATACTCCCAGCTCACACGACCACTGTAAGAGCAGCACTGAAAAACAATGATCAGCACTGAGAGAAGACACTGGAGCTGGAGCCACACGACTATGCGAGGGTCTGGGGCTCCCCCTTCCCGGGGGAGGGGGAGGCTGAGCAGACATGCGGCGCAGCTCGTGTGACATCATGCTTGTTTGCTCGTTTTTCTTTTGGGGAGTTCTGTTCACTCGTTTGATGATTTTTATTGTTAACCAGAATAGGGGTTTGTTTTGTAGCGCTTACCTTTCTGGGTGCCTGTCCCGGTCGATGGCAGATACAGAATGCTCCAAATCACATATGCATTTCTATGAGCCATTGCTCCCCGTGCCTCTGTGAGGGGGGGCCAGGTTCTGGCTCATGGTCCCCGGTAGGCTAGAACTCCACCCACATCGACTGATGGAAAATAGTTATGGTATCTATATCAGCCATGGATAGCTCCAGGAAGCCATAGAGGCACCCCCCCCCCCCCCAGAAAAAACAGTTTGAGCAAACTTGCAAATATATAGACAAATAGTGCTTTGATATGCATCAGTACCAAATAGCCCTTTATCCTTCAAAATAAAAAAACAGCATTAAATGTAATGAAACGCCATTTTCTGGGTGAGACCAGGAGGTGCCCCGGAGCTAATCCAGGCTGATAGGCTAATGTCAGACTTTGGCATCAGTCATGTCTATGGAGTTCTGTGGGCCTCTCGGGGACCACGATATAGAACCTGGCCCCCTTCAGAAAGGCACGGGAAGCAATGGCCTAAAGAAACCAATCGTGTGGTTGGAAGCATTCTACGTCTGCCATGGACCGGGTCAGGCGCCCAGAAAGGTAAGCGTCCCAAAACAAACCCCTAATTTGGTGAAAATTGCTACCAAAAGTCGAACTAGTGGATATAACTCCCCAAACAAAAACGAGCAAATGAACATGACGTCACCACATCGCCATCTGCCCAGCTTCCCTCTCCCCGGGAGGGGGAAGGGGGAGCCCCAGACCCCTCCTGCAGGCTATCCAAGACCCCAGTTCTGAAGCTGGATATCAAAAACACATGAAAAACCGTCGACTGGAGGGATGGAGAGTTGCCAGGAGCCTCCAGGTCTCACCCAGAAAATGCCGTTTCATTACATTCAATGCTGGTTTTCTGGGGGGAGCCCCGTCAGCTCCCCGAAGCTACTTACCAAAAGACGAAAACAGGAGGGACTTTCCCGGGAGGCAGTCGGCCCGTTTGCTTGTTTTCATTTGGGGAGTTATGTCCACTAGTTCGGGTTTTAGTAGCAATATTTTAAAGAGAATAAGGGTTTGTTTTGGGGAGCTTACCTTTCTGGGTGCCTGACCTGGTCGATGGTATACATAGAATGCTTCCAACCACACGGGGGTTTCTATAGGCCATCACTCCTTATGCCTCTCTAAGGGGGGACAGGTTCTGGCTCGTGGTCCCTGGTAGGCCTAGAACTCCATGTGCACTGACTGATGCCAGGGGTCTAATACATTCATATCAGCCCGGTTAGCTCCGGGGAGCCGAAGGAGCTCACCCCAGAAAAGAACAGTGAATTCCTTGTATACTACTGTACATGGAAAACATCAGATATCTTCAAAGTAAATCTTAATGTCTGAATCAATTACCAAGTAATACATGAAAGCATTTTCAGCCATCACCCATAAAGAAATTTTTAAGTAGTTTTCCATTGTTTTACCTATCCTTGAAACTGAAAAGATAGAAAACTGGTACAAAATATAAGAAAAATATTATTACAATCAAGATCATGCCCAAAACACTACATAAAACTTTAAAAATAATTTAGCCATGAGAAAGTACTAGTAGTAAATACACCGCACTCTGTGGTAAGGAACCATATCCAGTTCTGTGGCATTCATTAATCTGAAATCCCAAAGAAAATAATCCACCTTGACACTGTTAAGGCCGCCAGATGGTTGGTTCCAAGAATCCAGAATTTTACACGTTTCACTCACTATTAACTCGGCTGCTTGGATAGAGCAACCACGAATCTCCACCTTTGGAGTTGGAAAAAGATGACATATATGAGATTAATAATAAAGATAACAGAAATACTGTACCTTAAATATAACGTATTTCTTCTGACCAGTCTTTTGAAATTCATGATAAAAACATGGTTCCAATTCAATTTTCTCCATATGGCCTACTGTAGTTTGGTCAAGATATTTGAGACATTTACCCGATTTAAGACATTTTGAAAATGTACCCTGAATTCTATAACTGTACTTAGGATACAGCTGTGGGCCTCAGCCATCACTAAAATAACTAAAGTTTTCTTGAAAAACCAATGGCATGAATGGAAAGACATGTATTAATAAAATTAAACCTAAATTTAGTTTACAGATGCAATATTATCAAAATTTAACTTAAACATGTAGGAGACCAAAAGTGCAGCTCTTTCCAAGTGCTTGGCCACTCTAGTGCCCCTGCTCAGTAAGGTACTTATATTACCCATTTCAGAAATTTCCCTAATATAAGTATACAGTATTAAATCCTGTACTATACCCACCTTCCTTTCAAGACCATGGCACAATATATATATCATAGCATGTGGGGCGCACACACACATGCCTAAAATCCAAAATTCCCAACCAACAGCACAGCCCAGCAAATGACATATTTCTCTGTTTGCTGCGGGTAATTAGCCGGGCTTTTGGAGTTTATATGCATTTAGTGCTGTAGAGAATTCTATTGCGAACACAATGATACCAAATTTAATCTCGTAGGACGAGAATTAAGGTGACAAAGTTGAAGAGAGTATACACTTTTCAGAATTTACGCACGCTCCCCTGACACCCTGGGTCCAATATCGCACTATTGAAGGGTGGCGCGCGGGGTACGCCAAAGTGTTAATATGTTACTATAGTACATATAATTTGAAGAATTTCTAATATTTAGGTGTATGGTTTTATTAAGTAGTGTAGGTACTAGATTTTTTTTTGCACAGCATCAATGGCTAATGACTTAACCTTACCTCAGAGACTTTAGCTAACAAAATCTTATAAATTGTCATCCACACTTCAGTGGAAATAAACATTTCATTCACCTGTAAGAGGCTCTATCCACCCAGAAGTGTTTATTTCCATGGTATGAGTATGCAGCTGACAGTGCAGTATTTAAATTCAACAACACCGTTATTGAATTTAAATACTGTACTGTAAGCTTGTCAGGCAGGATTCCCCTTTTCTTTAATTCATTCTGTTGGCCCCACTCCTTTTCCCCGTCCCATTGCAAATCCTCATCCTGACCCCTTCCAAGTAGTATTTAGTTTTAATGGCTTGGTGCTTTCCCTTGATAATTCCCTTTCCCTTCTGTTGTTCAGAAACAAGTTTTGCTCCTAGATGGTACATAGGTTCCTGCCTCATTATCCTATCTAGAAATTTTGAGGTCAAGCCCGTAAATGCTATTAGCCTAAGGGTGAGTGGGTCAGTTTCAGGCAGGCAGGTTGAGGAGGCAAGTGATTCAGAGAGCTTATGGCTGCTAAGAACAACAGCACAAGCTGATAAAGTTTCTATATCCTTTATTGGCATTAATACACACATTCTGGGAAAATTGTCAACTTTATCATTTGTGCTTTAACCCTTAACATGCTCGGGGTCTAATATCCTGCTATCCACACAGGCGCATGTCATTTTGAAAAAAAAAAAAATTTTTTTTTTTGCTAATCTGTTAAGTTCTGTTCACTGATCACGGGAAAAATAAAAAAAAATTCTATTGTACTTACTTTTGTTGCAATAGAGCCGAGAAGCTCTGCGATGACGTCACAATCTGCATGTTCGCTCATGCAGTACACGCCCGGAAGGTGTTGCACGCGGTCCTCAAACAGCCAGAGTTGCCACAAATATATTTTCGCGCTATTTATTTACAATGTCTAAGCGCATTTTATCTAATTTTTTTTCACTAATTGTGTTTCAAATACTGTTTGAACATATTTTGTATCAATAATTGTTGCATATTTGGGTATACACAGGCGCACACAAATGTTTTCAATTACGGCAATATAATATGTCATTACAGTCTATTATATTATATGTTCTGCTTATATGTTTACATATTTACACACTCGCACACGCTATACACACTTTGAAGCACACTTAGAAGATTTCTAGACTGTGGTAGTCATTGAAGCAGTCGACAGCACATAATGGGATACCACACGTTTCACACCATGTTTGCACAAGCTTCCGTTTCTTGTCTCTACGTGTCGTTGTTTTACACACCAAGCAATCACGTTGGGCTATTGCACGCTTCACACCAGGTGGCAAATACTTAAGTTTGTGTGCTAGGAAGCCTTCAGTGTGAGCGAGGCGTGGAGTACCAGCATGCTGCAACAGTGGGTTTATGATGGGCCGCTGAATACCTGGGACATCTTTTGCAAACTTTCCTAATAACTGTATTGCAGCATCAAATACAAAGTCACGGAAAGTGGGCTTACGTCCAGTTCTCACAAGGTACATGTTGAAACAGTTCAGCATGCTCATGTCCACAAGATGGAAGAACACTTTTTTCGTCCACCTACATGTCTTCCGCACACACTCTGCAGTGCCAATCATCATGTCTGATTTATCAATCAACCGCATGTTGATATTATAGTCTAAAACACAGTCTGGCTTATATAGTGGTGCGTTTGTTTTATGGCTCACTTTCCCACTGTTCACCATTGTTCCATCATGAATTGTTGTCAACAAGTTCACCTCTCTTTTGTCTTTCCACCGAACTGACAGAATGTTATCACTTTTCCTTCTCTGACACTCACCAACTGCAATGTCGTTGTCAAACACAGGCATTTCCCTTCGTTGTGGCTTTACTGTACCAACCAATCCGGTTCTATTTTCTAGCAAGAACCGAGCTAGCAAGGGACTTGTATAGTAATTATCTGTGTATAAAATGTGTCCCTTGTTCATCCACGGAGCCATGATGGTCTTCACTACACTCCCCGAGAATCCATGTTCGTCGTTACCGGGAATGTCTACATCACTAGCCGAGTACAGAATCATGTGTAACACGTATCCTGTCTCACAATCACAAAGAACAAAAAATTTCAGGCCAAATCGGTTTCGTTTTGAGGGAATGTACTGTTTGAATGGAACACGTCCCTTGAAAAGTATGAGAGATTCATCAACCACCAGCTTCTGTGCTGGTACGTAAAAATCTCTGAATTTTCTAATAACATCGTTCATGTAGTGCCTCACTCGCCACAGTCTATCATCAGGTGTTCGGTCCTGAACACTTCCAAAATGTAGACACCTGAGGAGTATCTGAAACCTGTCTCGTGACATATATTTCCCGAATAAAGGTGTTGGTATTGTCTTGTCCTTGCTCCAATAGTCATTTATTGCATGTTTGTGACAGTGCTTCATCAACAAACAGAGTGCCAAAAACACATACATTTCCGCCACTGTGGTATTTTTCCAACGCTGCAGTCGTGAAAATTCTGTGATTTCCCTCTCAATCAGGTAAGCAGCATGCAGGTTCGTTTGGTGTACAATGTATTCCATGAGTGGTTCATCATAGAATGCTGTAAAATATTCCATCTCAGCCATGTCCTCACCTTGATTAGGGAAAAGGTTTGTAATCCCTACATCTTTATCGTCAAAGTGAGGAATATTAGGAATAAAATCGTCACCATCACTCCACTCAAGTACACCAGGCGTCCTGCGAGATGCAGAGGAAAGACGGCGAGGAAGCGATGCATACCGGCGACCAGGAGCTGAATACCGTCTGCGAGAAGCACGGCGGCTACGTGCACGTGAGGTGGGTGCACGTGAACACGAGGGTCTTGGTCCCTCATGTGGTGCCATGCGGTGGCGCTTGGCTGGGCGAGATGCTGCTGACGCGACAATTTCTCGCCCAGTTACACCACTGGTACCAGCCACAGGCTCAATAAAACTTTGATCTGAGTCACTAAACCCAGAAAAGGAGTCACCTCCCTCTGACTCGTCACCCTCAAACAGAAAATATCCACAGGAACTGTGAGGTCGTGGTAGAATTGGGGTAGAAAATGGGCGAGGAGGCATGGGAGAGCGTATAGGCCTCGCCATGGCATGGCGGTCATTCTCACTTTCACTGCTGCTGCTACTATCTCCCGACAACTGTGTATAATCCTCATCGTTGTCTGAATCGTCAAACACACTTTCTTCACCTTCAGAGAATAATTCGTGGGCTATTTGCTCTGGGGTGAGGGACTGAGTGGTGCGTGCCCGTGAGGCGTTTGACCGTGCGCTCGCCATGGTGACTCTCGCTAAACTGAGGCCTCCCATGCCATCGGAGCGTGAGCTGGATTTTTTTTCAAAATGGCCGCTGTTTACTAGAGCCCCTGGGCAGCGTATGGGACCCCCAGCTACACCGCGGGCCATTCAAATCGTGCGCGGTACCCATACACTTCATATGAAGTGAAGCGCAGTTGACTGGTACAACGATTTACACTTCATATGAAGTGATGCGCACTTTAAGGGTTAATCTAGAAAATATACACAATACTTTATGAAAAACAAATCTAATGTCAATACTTACTTCTTCTCGATCCCCAGACTGAAATAGCACTTCATTTCTCAGTTTCTCCATTAAGCTGTCAGAATATTTCAGGACTCCAAAATATGCCATGGCTTGGGGAACTCTGTAGTCAGCAAACATAGTAAGAGAGTCTATGTCTGTAAATGCCCCTAATCCTTCTCCATGGTACAGCATCCATAAGTCAGCTGCCAGAATCTGCACTCTCTTAAATAAGGCCACACTTTGTCCCTCATAAAAGGCAATATCTTGGAAACATGGAAATTCATTAGTAACAAGATCTATCAATTTCATGGCACTACCATCTGCCTTTCTCAAGACATTTACAAATGTTCCATCATACTTTTCAATGAGCTTATTTCCCACCTCTTTCAGCACGTGAATTCGCTCCTCGAAGAGCGGCATGGTTGACACGGTGTCGGAACGAAATATGTGCACAACGTCATCTATTGTTAGCTTGCTGTAAAATTTAGGGTCATACATCTTCTTTCCTTCATCAATAGCCCTATTGATAGCAGCAACCATAGCCATATATCCAGTCCTTTTCTGTTAAGAGGAATAAAATAAATATATATTTACAGTAATGGCACATTAAAATAAGTTTAGATCCTTAAACATAACATGAATAAAGGAACTATATGTAGTATTAAATAATGTACCTGATAGCATCATTAGAGAGAACAGGCTTACATATGTTGAAATGGTGTGAAGATACATTATACAAATATCTGACAAACAGGTACGGAAAAATTATCATAGCATAATGGATGAAGCATCAATGAAAAGTAAACAATATATGAGAATCAACTACCCAGTCATATGTCTGTAATACAGACACATGACTCTCCATAGTCTTACCTACTAATTTTTTACTTCTTTTCATCAAGACAACTTTGGACATTTTCTCTCTAACTCCACTGCCTCAACTATATATCTCATCTATTTCAGTTAATATAGCCACCTGTTACAAATATTCAGTATTGCTAGTGCAACATAGTGGATAAAGTTTAACAGCAATGCCTTTCTAACATTACAGTATATACTGTACTATATTTACTATTTACTTCATCATTATGTAATCAAGTAATCTTCCAGAAACTTCATGCATGTCAGCAATTGTGTATCTATGAAGATGATATACACACTAGGCAAAGAACTCCCAGTAGCACCCACATCACGCTAGACAGGTGAAGAATAGAAGAAAAAGCAACATTTTAACTGAAATGGGAAATTGACAATCACTCAGAAGCAGGAATGCCTCAGGCCAATTCTGTGGGTGACTACAGGAGGACCCCAACACTTACAGAATACAGAAGAGGTGGTGAAAGATGCACAATGCACCAGAAAAAATGCAACCTACAGTGTAAGGCCCTGAGTTGAATAGAGAAGCCACAAAGATCTACATTGGAATAGAAGGGGCAAAGTTTACTAGTTATCTGAACCATCCTGCTGACATGCAAGCATATCATGCATGAGTGGAGAATCTCAGCTGAACAAAATCTTAATCCTGACCTTAAACACCAAGTAAGGAAAGGTATCGGCAGCTGCGGATAAGAAACAGTCACTTATGCAACACAAGTGCAATCTCAGCAAAAGCACAAAGCCTCCACGTGCACAAGGAGGTGGCTAGGTATGATTGCAGCATGCAGACAATGCACAGTTAATTCATAAGACAGCTCTAATCCCCATCTACAGGCATTACAGTAGAGAACACGCCTCGCGTATTATTCAGAAGTGAGGTGATTTCAAGAGTAGTTATCCCATAAAGAAGGAATTGGAATCCCCTCATAACAGTATCATGGTGGGGCAGGGGGGGAAATGCAATCTGACTACCATGGAATGTAACCCAAACATCAAGTCAGAGTGAAATAAAAAGTTAAGGGATATGCAATGTAGTTGATATAATAACCCAATTATGAAGAAAAACAGGAAAAAAGAACAAAGTAATGGGCTTTGGCAAAATGGCATTCCAGAGATAGCCAACACCACTTGGCTTAAGTATGAAATAGTAGGGAAGCCTTATCAGAGAAGACATGCCCCCCTAGCCTAGACCAGGCTAGTGAAAAGGTTTCCTCAGGTGACTTGGGCTCCTCAAGTGCAACCGTTTACATAGTGATAATGATTGATTACATTGTTATCTTTAGGTCTCCAATTTCTATCAAGTAGTGAATCATTTTGTTGCACTTATGCTTTCTGGTGAGGTTTTTCTTGGTGTTAGGTAAATCTCTGATCCCCAAGCACCATTAGCCTCTAATGTTCCTAATCTATGTAGCCCTGAACTCTTAACATCTTAATTTAAAGCCTCAAAACCTTCTACTTCCTTCCTCAATTAACACCCTCCAAACTCTCACTTAAACATCATTCAAAGACTATGTGGGGAAAAACCTAGACTCTTGATATTGGTGCTACATAGCCTTCCTGGCTTGGTGCCTTCTTTTAATAATTACTTACAGTACTTACACGTACCTGGTTGACACCAGTCCAGCAACGAGGAAGCCTGGTCGACGACCAGGCCGTAGGGTCGCTAAGACCCGAAATCGCCTCAAGGTAAGGTTACCTTGGTAAGTACCCTATAACATATTTGCAATCAGAATTTATTTGATAGGACTGGGAGATGCCGAGTGTAGTGGCATCATGAATGATGCCGAGTCACTGATAATAAAACAGTGACTGTAAAAAAATTAACGCTAAGATACCTTTCCTGGTGAACATAAATACTGTAATGAAAATGTAAAAATATTCACCTTTCCTTCATACACAACAGTGTATTTAGGGACTCCATGAGGTGTCCAAAAGTTAAAGTTGAGGGAATCAACCAGGAAGATCCAATCAGCAAGCTGAGCCTTAGTCAAACCTTTGTTTAGTGGCATAACTTCATTCTGGAATGCAACAGTCAGAAAACAGAATTAATAGTGGTTATACGTACATAAACATTAACAATCAATAATTGTTATCATTCATCTTACTAAGGTGAACCTAACCAATAAACAGATATTTGTCAAATACTGTACTGTACATGCAACTACAATAGGACACTATCATGCAAGAACGGTATGAAAAAACCAGCGTTGAATGTAACGAAACGCCATTTTCTGGGTGAGTCCCGGAGGCTCCCCAGAGCTATCCAGGCTGATAGGGATCGTCCTAACTTTTGCCATCAGTCGATGTGGGTGGCGTTCTAGGCCTACCGGGGACCACGACCAGAACCTGGCCCCCTCAGAGAGGCACGAGGAGCAATGGCCCATAGAAATGCACATGTGATTTTGGAGCATTCTATATCGGCCATCGACTGACACAGGCACCCAGAAAGGCAAGCGCCTCAAAACAAACCCCTATTCAGGTGAAACCAACGAAAAAGTGGACAAAACTCCCCCAAGGGAAACCGAGCAAACAAGCATGATGTCACACGAGTCGCTCCGCACGTCTGCGCAGCTCCCCCTCTCCCTGGGAGGGGGAAGGGGGAGCTCCCAGACCCCCGCGCGGGCGATCCACACCTCCAGTTCCGAGGCTGGATATCAAAATACCCAAAAAACGCCAACCGGAGGGGGGGAGGGTTGCCGAGGAGTCTTCGGGGCTCACCCAGTTAAAGACGTTTCATTACATTCAACGTTGGTTTTCTGGGGAAGAGCCCCTATGGTTCCCTGGAGCTACTTTACCAAAGATTAAAGAAAAAAGGGGACTCACCTGGGAGGTGGTCGGTGCTCCATACCTCAACTCGAAGTCGAGACAGGCTGCAGCCGTCGACCCAAAGCAACACAGCCCCGACTAGGCCCAGGAACATTCACGAGATAGAGTGCAGCCAGAGCCCTGTTCGAAAACCCCCATGCCCGAATGTCAGCCTAGGACATGTTCCCAAAAACGGCAGCAAGAACAGCGAACTTACAAACGTCATGGGCACGGGGTTAGACAACAGGCTGGCGAGACTTAATAACCCTGCGGACGACTTGAGAGACCCGTACCCGCGAACAGGGAAGAAGGGAAACCAGATCAACCCAAAGTGCGTCCTCGGACACAGAAGCTGTGGCGTGCAAATAATGGGGAAGGGTCGCAACCGGACACAAAACATGATGCACCCTGGAATAGTTCTCTCAGCTCGCACACCACCGAGGAGAAGCACTGAACCCAGGCACACCACAAAGAGAAACTGGAGCTGGAGCCACAACTAAATCTTATCCCATCAGCCAAGGAACTAGGTGTGGATCACCGGCGCAAGAGTCTAGGGCTCCCCCTTCCCCCTCCCAGGGAGGGGGGGGGAGCTGCACAGACATGCGGCGCAGCTCATGTGACGTCATGCTTGTTTTCCCTTGGGGGAGTTCTGTCCACTTGTTTCATTATTTTTGTTGGTTTCACCAGAATAGGGGGTTTGTTTTGAGGCGCTTACCTTTCTGGGTGCCTGTTCCGGTCGATGGCCGATATGGAATGCTCCAAAATCACATGTGTATTTCTATGGGCTCCTTGTGCCTATCTGAGGAGGCCAGGTTCTGCCCGTGGTCCCTGGTAGGCCTAGAACTCCACCCACATCAACTGATGCCAAAAGTTAGGACTATCCCTATCAGCCTGGATAGCTCTGGGGAGCCATTGGGGCTCCCCCCACAAAAATATGCTACTAGCACAAATCTTGATATAAAGGAAAATAATGTCTGCTATACCATGCTGTCACAATGCAATGACTATGTAGCCATATTCATATTACTGCATATTTTGTATTATTCTCATGCCTTGAAATATTGTACAGTACTAATCAAAATATGCTATTCTTTTTTTGTATTGCATTACTCTAATTGTATATTGACTATTTGTGATATTCTATATCTTAACTTCAGAGGCTCGAATCACGTATATCGGCGAAAAATATTGAAAAAACTTGAGATACAGTCAAAATATCTTAAGTAAAAAAAAGTGGCAACACTTTAGGAAAAAATATTCACGATTTATATAAAGGTATATTATGCCCTTTTTGCAGTACTGTAATTCAATTGAGTAGAAAGAATGGGTTTAATTCTCTTTGGCTGCCCATTATGTAAATAATGTATATACAATTTTATATACAGTAATTCATTGTGTCCAAAATTCACCAACTTTGAAGAATTTTACATATTATCTTCATATATACCAGTAGTTCTAAAATTTGGAAACAGCACATTAAAATATTCAGATTATATTTTGAGTTACAGATTTTCAAGTGCTATTTTCAAGCAAAATGATGGACCTTTATCAAGTCAGCATACGAATGCTGCCCGTCTCTCGGCATACAAATGCTGCCCGTCTCTCGGCACACAAATGCTGCCCGTCTCTCGGCACACGAATGCTGCCCGTCTCTCGGCACGCGAATGCTGCCCGTCTCTCGGCACGCGAATGCTGCCCGTCTCTCGGCACGCGAATGCTGCCCGTCTCTCGGCACGCGAATGCTGCCCGTCTCTCGGCACGCGAATGCTGCCCGTCTCTCGGCACGCGAATGCTGCCCGTCTCTCGGCACGCGAATGCTGCCCGTCTCTCGGCACGCGAATGCTGCCCGTCTCTCGGCACGCGAATGCTGCCCGTCTCTCGGCACGCGAATGCTGCCCGTCTCTCGGCACGCGAATGCTGCCCGTCTCTCGGCACGCGAATGCTGCCCGTCTCTCGGCACGCGAATGCTGCCCGTCTCTCGGCACGCGAATGCTGCCCGTCTCTCGGCACGCGAATGCTGCCCGTCTCTCGGCACGCGAATGCTGCCCGTCTCTCGGCACGCGAATGCTGCCCGTCTCTCGGCACGCGAATGCTGCCCGTCTCTCGGCACGCGAATGCTGCCCGTCTCTCGGCACGCGAATGCTGCCCGTCTCTCGGCACGCGAATGCTGCCCGTCTCTCGGCACACGAATGCTGCCCGTCTCTCGGCACACGAATGCTGCCCGTCTCTCGGCACACGAATGCTGCCCGTCTCTCGGCACACGAATGCTGCCCGTCTCTCGCCACACGAATGCTGCCCGTCTCTCGGCATAGAAATGTTGCCCATCTCTCGACAAAGGAATGTGAATAAAAAAATGGATGCCTAAGCCGTGTTATGTCTGTGTGAGCAGTAATATGGACACTTAAACTGATGACTGTGTGTGCATACAAGGATACAAGGGAATAAGACATGTATCCAGCGATCGGTGAACTTGTGAGGAGGGGGGTGACGTCGCCATAGGCGTTGCCATGTCACCTACCTGTTTGAAGCCCTCCATATCCAGCCTGCCGTCCCTGACAAGCTCGGCGATGATGATGGCCACCTTCCTCACGCCCTCCTCTGCAATCCTCACATCTTTTGATCTGGAGGAGATGAATTTGGCAGCTTCTCTGGGCCACAACATGTCTTCTCGTGTGCATGCGTCTTGGCGTTTGTTATTCGTGGCCACAAACCACGTTGATCCTCAGTCACAAGATTGACGCTCCGTTGAATCCCGACCACGACGGTTTACTGGCCCGTTTTCCCTTCACTCACTCAGAGACGGCCTTGGTGGTTGGACTTGGCCAAAACAATGGAAACTTTTGGGCTGCCAAAGCAGGAAATGTCCTAAACAGACTACATTTAAAAAGCATGATTCTTGATAGAGAGAGTGATCAGCCACACTCAAACTACACTTCTTCCCCACCGGGGGAGGAGCCTACCTTCAAAATAGTAATAGAAAGTCTCCCAATGAAAAAGCCTGCCATAATCCCATAATCCAACAATCCTAAGGCGCATAATAGAAAAGCAAATGTATAGTACTGCAGTAGCAGGAGCCACCCACATCTTCACAGACACAGAAGAAGGAAGGAAGCACAGAAGAATAGGAAGCAGAGAATTGCGGTGAGGGGTGAGACCTCCGATTGGCGTGAAGTTACCAGTGGAGTCCCACAGGGCTTTGTACTCGGTCCTATCTTATTTCTGATATATGTAAATGATCTCCCGGAGGGTATAGATTCATTTCTCTTAATGTTTGCAGACGATGCCAAAATTATGAGGATTAAGACAGAAGGACTGTTTTGAAGTTTGTTTTGAATGTATAAGTTTGAGGCTTTCTTTCAAGAAGACCTAGACAAGCTGAAGGAATGGTCGAACAAATGGTTGTTAGAGTTTAACTCAACCAAATGATAGGTGTAGGGAGCAGGAGGCCAGATACAAGGTATCATCTGGGAGAGGAAATTCTTCAGGAGTCAGAGAAAGAAAAAGACTTGGGGGTTGATATCACGCCAGACCTGTCTCCTGCAGCCCATATCAAGAGGATAACATCAGCGGCATATGCCAGGCTGGCCAACATACCAATGGCATTCAGAAACTTGTGTAAAGAATCATTCAGAACTTTGTATACCACATATGTCAGGCCAATCCTGGAGTATGCAGCCCCAGCATGGAGTCATATCTAGTCAAGGATAAGACTAAGCTGGAAAAGGTTCAAAGGTTTGCCACCAGACTAGTACCCGAGCTGAGAGGTATGAGCTATGAGGAAAGACTACGGGAATTAAACCTCACTTCGCTGGAAGACAGAAGTTAGGGGGGACATGATCACCACATTCAAGATTCTGAAGAGAATTGATAGGGTAGATAAAGACAGGCTATTTAACACAAGGGGACACAGGTGGAAACTGAGTGCCCAAATGAGCCACAGAGATATTAGAAAGAACTTTTTTAGTGTCAGAGTGGTTGACAAATGGAATGCATTAGGAAGTGATGTGGTGGAGGCTGACTCCATACACAGTTTCAAGTGTAGATATGATAGAGCCCAATAGGCTCAGGAATCTGTACACCTGTTGATTGACGGTTGAGAGGCGGGACCAAAGAGCCAGAGCTCAACCCCCGCAAACACAACTAGGTGAGTACAGAATATGATAGTATTGGCGCTGGCACGGCCAGCGAACAGGCATATTAAAGACTAGGAGGATCAGTATCATCAACCCAAACCGAGCTGTTTGCCATACAACAGGCATTCGCATATGTGATTACACTAAACACTTAAAATGCAATCATACACACAGACTCAAAAGCTCCACTTCAAATATTAGGACAAAAACTATGGAAAGACAAAGTGGAAATAATTACCACCATTTTGTATCTTGGAGCAGTCGCTAAAGGCAAAGGACTCAACATAACCTTAAATTGGATCCCATCCCATGTTGGAATCCCATTAAATGAAAAAGTCGATGAAATTGCTAAATTGGCAACTCGTCATCCAGTGATACATAAAACAATTCAACCCAGCCTCGAGAACATAAAAAATATCACCAAAAATCTCTCACACCTCAACAAAGCCTATCTACACCAGAGAGTAGCAGAGGGTTCGCCCTCTGCAATATGGTATCTTCAGGCAACTAAATTAGATAGGTTAAATATCCCCAAAATAATCCACAGGGAAATAGCAGTTCGGTTATATAGACTACGTCTAGGTTACAGATGCAACTGGGAGATTGGTGAACCCCGACAGAAAGAAGGCATCTTCTGCCAGACTGTCACAGAAAAGCCACTCCACTTATCTCCTGGAATGTGAAGCAACCAACGACCTTAGAAGAGCTGCGACCAGTTGTGTAACCGGAGCCTGACCAGTTGTGTAACCGGAGCCCGACCAGTTGTGCAACCGAAGCCCAACCAGTTGTGCAACCGAAGCCTGACCAGTTGTGCAACCAAAGCCCGACCAGTTGTGCAACCAAAGCCCGACCAGTTGTGCAACCAAAGCCCGACCAGTTGTGTAACCGAAGCCCAACCAGTTGTGTAGCCGAAGCCCAACCAGTTTGTTACGACCCTGGGTTCCTCAGTGGAAACCAGAGGTCAAAATTGAGCTATTAAACTTTCCTATAGTATAGTTGGACGCATCACGAGCTGAAACTGTTTGTATCTTCCCTGCCAGACGTAAGACTATTCTTGTTTCTCAAAGAGCATTTAAAGACTGAGCTTGGGATTGATTATTAAATAATAACATAGGCACCAACTATGTTTACTAATACTTTCTAATCATTTGTAAAATAACAATATGTTGCATAGGGGAAGATTTTTAATGTGCTTAGCTGCACGATCAATTAGGCTCCTCCCGGCACCACCACATGCGGGAGGCCTAAGCTGGTCGCTGGGAGCGTTCTTCTTCTGGCTGGCGTTCGTGGGGATGAGACCTACTCTGTGGCTGCACCCCTACTCTCCTCCCTTCTCCTCTTACTTATTTCCCTTACCTTAAGTTCCTGTGCCATTAAGTTAAGTACGGTGTTTTAAGTGTGCCTACTCTGGTAGTAACGATTGGTGAGACCTGGGGGTAGTATTTGCCAGTGTTTTGGGTACCCCTAAGTGTTGTGTTTTGGTATTTTTTTTTTTTTTTTTTTTGTGATATATACAAGAGTTGTTACATTCTTGTACAGCCACTAGTACGCGTAGCGTTTCGGGCAAGTCCTTAATCCTATGGTCCCTGGAATACGATCCCCTGCCGCGAAGAACCGTTGTTACATCCAAGTACACATTTTACTGTTGCGTTAAACAGAGGCTACAGTTAAGGAATTGCGCCCAGTAAATCCTCCCCGGCCAGGATACGAACCCATGACATAGCGCTCGCGGAACCCCAGGCGAGTGTCTTACCACTACACCACGGAGACTGCTAAATTAGGGTACCACGTGGTCTCACTACCCTAAGCTGCATCCAGCTTCAGTGCTTATCCAGTAGAACTTTACCCTAGCTTGTGTTCAGTGTAAAACCTTGCATCCTGTCTATGTGGACCAAGGCTTTTAACGTAAGATAGTGTGGTAAAGTAATTATTATTATTGTTATTGGTGTGAGTGTATATGGGGGGTTGTTAAGGGGTTAATAAATAAGTAAATTAGAACAGAGTATCCCTTCTTCCAGTGTGGGAGTGCATTGACCAACCCTTAGTCTGACATGGTCTAGTAGCAAGTTGTTATTACTGTGGATAGTTTATTTGGGGGCCGGGCCTTTTAGCTCTCCCATATTTGATAACTGTTTTCTAACTACCCTTACCCCTTAATAGTACCAGTTCCCCCATAGCAAGCCCACCATTTACTTAACACAGTTGTGTAACCGAAGCCCAACCAGTTGTGTAACCACAAGCCTAGCAAGAACCAAAAAACCTCTGGATCACAACCTTGTACAAACCGAAGCCCGACCATGCACAACCCAAAGCCCAAGTGACACCCCAGAGCCCGACCAGTTATGTAACCGGAGCCCGACCAGTTGTGTAACTGAAGCCCCACTATAGTTGTGTTACCGAAGCCCCACCAGTTGTATAACCGGAGCCCCACCAGTTGTATAACTGCAAGCCGAGCAAGCAAACAACTCCCCCAACCCTCACCAAGCCAAACAAACAGCTCCAGAGCCCAACCAAACTCCCTCCCTTGCTCTACCAAACAAACCCTTCCTTAGCCCTACCTAACAACTGCCTCCCCCCCTTTGCCTTAACAACTAACTTTGGAACCAAAGCAAACAAACAATTGAGCCCTATACAAAAAAAGAAACCTGGAACTCTTGCAAAAATACAACAATGAAGCCCTAGAAAATAAACATGCACTTAGTCATAGTAAAGAAACAATCATGATGATCTAGCAAAGAAACATGAGGCACTAGCACACAACCCCTGGAGCACAACCATGCACGAACTGAAGCCCGACCATGCACAACCCGAAGCCCAGGTGATACCCCTGGAACCCGACCAGTTATTTAACTGGAGCCCAACCAGTTATTTAACCAGAACCCCACCAGTTGTGTAACTGGAATCCTAGCAAGTATACATCTCATCCAACCCCCCACCAAGCTAAACAGCCCCAGAGCCCAACCAAACTCCATTCCTAGCTCTACCAAACAAAAGTCTCCTTAGCCCTACCTGAAACCCTCCACTTGCCCTAGAACCCAACTATAGAGCCATAGCAAACAAAAAAAATTAAGCTGTGTATGAAAACAGAAACCCGGATTTCTAGCAAACATATAAACATGGAGCCCTAGCAAACAAACCTGGAGCACGAGTACACACAAAAACCCTGAAGCACAACTATGCACGAACCGGAGCCCGACCGTGAACAAACTAGAAGCCCAACAAGTCACACCCCCGGAGCCCGACCAGTTGTGTTATCTCAATCCTAGCAAGTAAATATCTCATCCAACCCCCACCAATGTGCTAAGTGGGGTGCCAAAGGGTCCATTTTAGATCAACCATTTTTATCATATATAATGACATACATAAGAATATTACAAACCACATCACCAAATTTGCAGATGACATTAAAATCTATGGTAAAGTGGGAAGTGAAAGTCATATTGAAACCTTATAAAGAGATCTACACGAGCTCCACAAATGGTCAGATGACTTTTGAATGTCGATAACTGCAAGACCTTGTATGTGGGGCATAACAATCCTCGTCACAACTGCCAAATTGACAGCACTACCTTTCAACAGATAGGTGAAGAAAAGTACCTTGGAATCATAATCCATCACGTGAAGCATAACAATGCACAACACAACTACCAGATCATCAACATTATCTTGGAGTCAGAGTCCACCAATCACTGATAGTTGTACAAGTGGGTTCGGCAGTAAAACAGCAAACCAAACCCTGGGAATAATCATGCGTACCTTTACCTTCAAGGAAAAGAAAGAAGACCTTCAATTGTACAAGTTTCTGGTGTGCCCCCACATGAATTATTGCATCTAGGCGTGGAGACCTCATCTTCAGAAAGACATAACTGCTCTGGAGCCATGTCGTACCAGAGCTATGGAGTTATATCTTACGACAAAAATCATACCAGAGCTTAGTCATCTCTGGTATCAGGAACGGTTGAGGGCCACAGGGCTAACACCACTGCAAACCAGGCATGACAGGGCGGACTTCATAGAAACCTTTAAAATACTAAACAATTTTGAGGATATCGATCAGGACAATGTCTTCAAAATGTTAGATGTTACACGAACAAGGAGCAACAGGTTCAACCTCAACAAGCCAGAATGTTGGACAGGAAACAGATGCTTTTTCACCCATAGGGTTGTATACCCGTGGAACCGCCTACCCGCCGAAGCCGTAAACGCCAGAACTCTGCTGGGCTTTAAAATACAGCTGGAAAAGATCATCAGGGCAAATGGGGGGACCTTTGACAAGCCGCCGGCTTACTTACAAACATTTGAATAATACAGAACCCGGATGAAAAAAACAATAACCCTCGGAGACATTACAAGAACTGAGACAGAGTTCATTACTTTTCATAAAGTGGCTACTGGATGGTGCTCAGGGCCGACCTAAAGGGTCGGTGAACATTTTAATGTTATGTACTTGATCGTTGTTAAATGTGTGGACTATGGAAGCCGGAGTGATCATAAGTGCTGTACCACTATGACACATAAGCAATTTAGTCTTCACGTGGAGGAACACTTGAGCCGTTTGCGTTTAAAAGTCCCACTGGGCAGGATGGTATTTCCGATACATACAGTAGTCAATCTGTATTTCTCGATACATACAGATCTGATAACAAATCTGTTACAATAGATGATGCGCACCAGACGTGAGAGACGTTGAAAACAACACAGAGGTATTGAATGGCTCTAAAAATGTGTGTTGTTAATACCCACGGATTTAGTAACCGAGTACCAAAATGAGTCAGAGACTTTAGAAAGAATTTTTTCAGCGTGCAACACGTGCTGCCCACCAGCACGTGCTGTCCATCAGAATTTACTGCCCACCGACACGTGCTGCACACCAGCAGCACGTGGTGGTGCTGCTGGTGTGCAGCTCGTGATGTGGACATCAGCACATGATGTCCACATCACGAGCTGCCCAGCACCAGAACATGCTGCCCACCCAATATTTGAATAAATATTGTACTGTATTGTGTCATTCGGAACACGAGGAGGCTGGAGAAAATGAAGGTTGTGTCAACACCAAATAGAATTGGCTTGAGGTGTTGAGAGGCATTTGGAAGGTCATTGATGTAAATGAGAAAGGGAAGAGGACCAACTATACTGCCTTGTGGAACACCAATGTTAACTGGGAGAAGTTTTAAGTTTTAGTCTAAAGTGTTTTTCCCATATCTTGCCCAAAATGCTGTGCATATTAGTGGCTTTATGCATAATATGTACTAGCTCTATCTAGAAATTCAGCATTCTGTTTGTAACTCATTTTGAATATATGTGTACTTTTACCTGAATAAACATTATTATTATTATAAGTAGCATCATTCGCATCGACATACTGGAGCCTGTCACTGAGGTCAGATTGCAGAGACAGTATTGGAGGGAGTGACCTCTGATTCCACAGCATTGCAATTTAGGAAGATTATTGGGGTTAACAATGTCCAAAACCTTGCAAAGGTCAAGAAATAATCCTACAGGGCACTAATTTTTGTCAAAAGCTGCATGAATCAAATTAATCATATAATTAGTGCATCATTGGTGCTTTTGTGGGGTCAGAAGCCATATTGGCAAGAGACAAGAATATTATGTATTGCTAGATAGGAGTAGAGCTGCTTGTAGATTAACTTTTCAAATATTTTAAACCAGTAGGGGGGTGGGGCAGGGTTGATATTGGTCAGATAAATTCAGGTAAAATACTGCACTCAAATACTGTACATACTGCACATGGTACAAGAGACTTACCCCTTACTGCCACAAGTGCATTGTTCCCATCTCTCATCTCATTGATTATTCTGATTTTCAAAATTAATATAGATTTCACTTTCCTGTTATCATTGTTTGTCCCTTGTTAAAATCCTCGGTTGATCAGCATCTTTTGTGATCACTTATCTTGCTATTTCAGCCCTTATATTTGCATGCTTTATGATATATAAGAGGTTTAGATTTTTGTTGCTTTTTGCACTACGAAATCTTGAAAATTCTATAATATTTCTAGCCATCTTGGCTTGGCTCTTTTTGACGACAGCAATGATAAACATAAATTAATGTGTCATCGTCATCAACTGTAGAACATTTTGTGGATCAAAAGAAAATAATGTTGGAATCACACTTTTATTGTCATAAAATGAGAACAAAAACACATCTAACAACATTAAGGAACATGCTGAGTACTACTGATGAAAAGTACTTAACAAAAGATTAAGAAAGTTTAAGAGTACTTGGATGCATTGTATTTTAATTCACTTAAAGCCGATATTTTTTAATTAAAATAATTTATTTTAAGGTACTGTAGCTTCGTGTTGTCATATTGAAGAATAGGAACTAGCTATTTTGCATTTCAGTTATACAGTGTAATAAAGTACATTACGCAATGATCTTATTACACTGCATATTTAATGGAAAATATGAATTAGAAGGTATTGGTTAAAAAATTTAAAATGTTATAGATACTAAGTAATACATTCAGGACATGTGATGGTCTGTTATGAGCTGCCTATATGTATACAGTATATATATATGTTGTACCTAATGGTCAGAACTGCACTACTTGGCCTAATATGCAATGCCCAATTTGCCTAACAAGCAAAGTGATTTTTTATATTTTCAAATATTTCTTTCCATTAGTTTATTCTATTTAATATCATTTCATTATATTAAGAACATGAATTACTGACTTATGTTGGTTATGTTAGGTTAGCACAATGGGTTTGATAAAATTTTTATTTTTTTTTACTCAAAAAAATCAAATCATGTATAATGTTTAGCATTCCATAACAAAACTCTCAAAAATATAATATTTCATGAAAATTTGGTTTCTTAGGCAACTTGGCCTATATTAGGTACATTCATTTATATAGTATTTATATATATATATATATATATATATATATATATAGTATTTATATATATATATATATATATATATATATATATATATATATATATATATATATATATATATATATATATATATATATATATATATATATAATTTTTACCGTTGGGCCTGGCTGCAAAGAATTATAGCTAGAACTTTGTAAACATTGGAAAACACTGCATACAAGTCTGAATTATTGGGGTTACTTTTGTGAATTTATTTTACTGATATTGATCCTATGACAAGAGGGGGACATCAGACAGTTTTCTGAAATTAATGAATGCAGATGTATTGTAGATATTTTTTTTGGGGGGGATGGGGAGGGGCAACTGGTCAGCATATTTCAAAATTTCTATGACATGTATATATATTTTAAATTAAAATATATTTTAATTATTGGTTTATATGTGTACAATACTGTAATCTACAATGGCAACAAAACTAATGACTACAGCATTACTACAGTACAATAGTTGGTAGACAACGTGAAAAGAAAACCAACATTGTGCCAAAAACTGGTTGTACTGAATAAAAATAACCTTCTATAAGTATACAGTCCAGTATTTATTAATAAAGATCAAAGCACATCCTGAAAGGTTTACTTGAATATGTTACTGATGCAACTTATTCTTCAACAAATATATACAGTAAACAACCTGTTATATGATCTCCAAATACCCTACTTATCAGACATCGAGACAGACCAACAAAGAAATAAGCTGTCATGTCCACAAGCCAATCATCCATCCCAAAATATGGCACACCTTCCAGGTGGAATTTACAAGAGTCTATCATTGTACCAGATATCCTGACAAGATCAGCTCATATTTGTAACAGAAGAATCCATTGAAACACAGCTCAACCGCATACATCTGGTAAAGCCATGTTCATGGATAAATTTGTGTTCGTCATAATATAAATTGTAATAAACATTTAACATAGACGAACAATAAGACAGTAGTAAAAGGGATTTTGCTGTTGTCTTGTAGTTCATCTCACCTTAAACTTAACATTTTAGAAAGTGTCTGTTTTTAAAATGAAGCCCGAGTTGAACAGCTTAAGAGTCATCGACTCAGGTGTTCATACACTAATTGCCATCTCTCAAGCATGTGTTATCTTATTCTTATTTTGTGTACATATATAGGCTAACAAGCCGCTGGCTTCCTATCCTCATTGAGGCCACTAGGGTTAGTGGCTCTCAGATAAATCAGGTATATCTTTGTCTTTTATTTGTATATACTAGTTTTCTTTTAACTTTATAATTTATAACATTAATATTGAATAATATATATTAATTTTATTTAATACTGGTATATATAATTGATATACCAGTATATCAAAACTGTACTGTATATTTAATTGCTTTTAGCTAAATTTGCTATGTAAATAGTCTCTTGTTAGCACTGATGATGGAGTTTGGTACTCAGAAATGTCTTTAATTTAAAATAAATTGAAAATACTGTATATATACAGTATATCTTTTCTCTTATTATACTATTTATAATAGGATTAAAATTACCAAGAGGAAAACCCATACAGTATCTGAAATACTGTAACAAGTGATATATAATTACGCTAAAACAGGGGAAAAAGGCATGATGCAGTATATGTACTTTGTGTTGGCCTGATAAGTGTGTGCTATCAAATGACATTCTTCCTAGGATGAAACTTTACCCGAGTTTACCTGCGGATAAACTGCAACTTGACCCACTTGCACCAATCGGTATTTGAACACCGGAAGAAAAATTATTCTATTGTGTGAGCATCACAGCCTTGGGGAATTACATGGCCCAAGCCAACATTTAAGGGTTAAAAAGACTATTCCTCGATATGCATCTTTTTAAAGAAGGGGTTTCTCTTTTTCCCAAGTTCAAGTCTAATACAAATTTGTCATCAATGATAATGCTGTTAAAAAAAAAATTCCTATAAAAGTTGGAAAAAATATTCCCATCCACATTAACACAAATGGTATTTACAACTTGTTCTCCAAGTAATGCTCTACTCTAATAAGTCCTAATATATTAGCCTCACTTCCCTCTCCCCTGGACTAATCTGAAAAATTGACATTGATTTAACATTGAATCAAAGTTGATAACATTGATCCTACAATACTTGAGCATATTTTGCTTGCTTGGCAAGTTACCAATAGGACCAATTCTATAGTATTTTGCTTCAATGTAGCAATAAAGGTAAAGTAATGATGTAGGTACTTTACTAAAACACTGTAATATACAGTACTGTATATTAAAAAATACAATAATAGTCCATCTGGATTTTTTGAAAGGTTCTGTCCAGGTTGGATAACAGGTTGTCTAGTGCATGCTAAAAATGCATTACTGCAATACTTCATTTATAGTTTGTACAGAAATATATATATGGCCATAAGTATTATTAACTAGCTGAATTATAGTTACACTAAACAAATTTAACTAGAAGTTCCAATACCTCTAATAACCAAACTAACTCATCAAAAGGTGGGACATAGCCAGTTTTGTTTGTACATGATATTAAAACAAAAACAAAAATCATTAACATACTGCACAGCCCCCATACAGTACTTAAATAATTAACATGGTAGCAATTCATTTTATTATATGGTATTATGGAAAATAATGTTAAAATATAAAATGTAGGTTTCTGATATAACAAAAAAAATTCTCATAAAATTAATAATTATGTGCAGGCTTGTGAACATGGCCCAGTACTGTACAATACTTTATCTACTATCATAAAACTTTACTTCATTTTATTATATTTTTTTAAGTATAAAAAAGTATATTTGCCACCGCTAATGGTTTTCAATAGTCGGGGACAGGAAGCCTGTCGGGCTGATCGAGGACCCCTAGATCAACTACTGAACTTGCCCAATATCACTGGCATGAGGTCCTGTGCACACACACCTGTCCACAGGACCACTGGTGACAATTAAGTCACTTGTGCTAGGCTTAAAGCATTCATTTTATCCAGAGAAAATTCTTCACTATTTGCTCTTCATAAATTAATCAATACCACACTAGAGAAAAAGTTTTAAGACAATTCTGACAAAAAATTTTACTAGTTAACAATACTTAAGACATTTCATGACATGACAATAATTTCACCTTGTGGGCGATGTACATAACATGTCAGAAGTTCTGAATGCAAGTTGCATAAATTATCATAATTATTAAATTACCATATCTAAAATCAACTAAAGCCCATATGAAACCCCCTTAAGAAAGAAGACTTGATGCAGTCATTAAAAAAGTTAATGCTAAAACTTTATATTAATATTTCAAAAATGTTAAAAATCCTTATTCCTGTTTAGTCAACATGGATAAGAGAGATAAACTAGCAATAATATTTACGTAATACTGTTAATAAAGTTGCACTTGCAAAAATTGTGAACAAGAGGATGAAAGTGAAGTTAAAAATTGTGCGATCACATTCATCTACGGGCTGACATCGCACGGCCTTCGTAGCATAATCAAAAACCCTCAAATACAATCCATACCGCTAATAATGTAGCATTCATAATGTTTGTCTTGCACTAACTATTAAGAATGTATATCTTTTTTATAAAAAAATTTTTTGATTTGCCCATGACTAGTTTTGAAGGTTCTTCTCCCACAGCCAAACCAAAGACTAGATTAGCCTGGTGCTGTTCAGAAATCACAATGTCATCACAACCCATAATCTCTTCAGCAGTTGCAGTGATAAAAATGTATATATTTCATATTGCTGAATTGTTATACTGTATTAAGTAATTGTAGCTAATATACACTATTCTATGATACAGGTATACTGTATTTAATTAAAGTGCAATAAATTGTTGCTGGCACTTAGTCAAATTATGTCAAATAATGACCAAAGATTTTATGCTTTGGAATCAATACAAATTATTATACAGTTGTACATATTTGAAAATACAATATGGAACTGGTACATTATATCCTATTACAATCAAATTTGCTTAATAAAACAATAAATCCAAATATCAATACAAATAATTTGTGTTTATTCAGCAATATAATGGGCTATACTGTATGGTGTTGAAATATAATTCTGAATATGAATGATGATAAAATTTGCAAAGAACATAATCCCAGGCATAAAGGGGGATATCCACAATTCTGATGAAGAGGGTTCAGTGATCAATTACTGGCACTCCTGCAAAAGAAATTTGCCCTTCCCCCCCACCTCCCTAAAAAAGTGAACCAATCTGATGGAAGTTGGAATGTTGTTTAAGCTACAGAGCATATCAAATTCAATAATGAAACTTTTCTTAATATAAATTGAATATGATTTGAAGGAATTCAAAGCTTAATTACATATACTACTGAAGTAATTCAATAGCATAAACTGTATATAGCGATGCAACATTATCCGTCTTCTCTGGCACAGAACTTTTGGGTGTGTTCATGACAAACACTGATGTTGCTAATGAAACACCTTACAAGTGTATTCATTACTATAAATGTTTTCCTTAAAAATGGTTAATTATCTCTTATCATTACACACTTGTTCAACAAGCAGCTTAGTTCAGCTGGAGTGGTATAAGTATATAGCAAAAGATTAAAATTGGAGTGCTAAGATGATTTATAATAAAATATATCCTATCTTCTATAACATCCAATTAAAAAAAAAACTGTCATGTCTCGCTTTAAATAGGAAGCCATTTTTCTGTAAACGTGACAAAAGTCTCTTGAGAACAATTGTTGTGATATGTCTTCCTTTACTTATTTTATTAAGTACCGGTAATAATTTATATAACCATAACACATAATCAGTGGCTTGAATCATAGCTAAAAAGTAGGAGCTTCATTATTACTCACTTTTAGTTTCAGATTACCATCACTACCTCATACTTTTGCCCTCACAATAATTAAAACCAAATAGTATAATATACAAAAAAGATTTAAATGAATGTAGACAATTAAAATGCAGTCTTCAGTCATGATATTATCTAAATGATAAAATATAATATAAATATAATTAATGATAAAATCTAAAAATGTCTCAACTGATGATAAAACCCATTACAAAGAAATTAAAAGTGTAGCACATGCACTAAAAAATCACTCACACTTAAGATGCCTGGCACACTTTGCACACACCACCACCTTGCTCAATTCAATGATGACCAGAATCATCATTAATTAATGTAGTCACAACGAGTATCAACCTTCATCTGGGTCATTTATAAATCTTGACTCCATAATACTACTACACCTTATTTCATCACTTATTTTGATCACGTTCTACAATATCTTATCTCGCATCATTGTTCATCATCAGTGTTTGAACTTGTATTGCAAATGTCTAAGATGTAAATGCAATGAAATTCATTGCCTTTAAATGCACTTGTGAATTATTTTACATTATTTTAAAACTCATTTGCTGAATTCATCACATCACATCACTGTTCATGTTGGGCAACAAAAAATAGACACCGCTTCTCAAAGCGGTGAAGTTTCTGTGGGAAGAAAACGTACTGCTACGCGTCGAGTCTAACCGCCTGAGTTGCGCACGCACCGAGCGGGGTACTTAAAAGCACGCCCGCGGACTCTGCGACCTCTCGTTCGCCTCCTCCTCGGCTGATACACTACAAAACCGGGGTTCCGCACCGCTGGCCCTCACGGGATTGGGGGTGCTCCGACGGAACCCCCAAAGTGATAAGCCAAGAATAACAAGAATTGTAATTAGTGTAAATTCAAATAATGCAACTTTCAATTACTAATAAGAGATGTAACTATTAACTGTAATTGATTTAATACATTATCATTATAACGGCAATCCATTAATATTATTTCTGTATAATAATTTATAGTTATTCACTAATCATTATTAGTCACCATAATTATCCACTTTAATTATCTATTTTATTCATTATAATTAGCTATTATGCTTCTTCATTTAAAGATTATCATTATAATTAATCATTTATTAGTATTATTATTAATTAATTATTTGTATTTAATAATTAATTATTATTATAAAAATAAAATAAGTCCCCCACTCTGTGCACGTTTTCTTCCAACTGCAGAAATACGATGAAATGAACGTGGCCTATAACAGGGTATAACTCTTCACACTTAATAAACCTGTCCTTCCCACCACTTCCTCCCAGTTGACAAATTTACTGCATACAAAATGGAAGAGAAGACATGTAACATTAATCAACACATATGACACAATGGGTCCAAATTTTTAAAGCACCATTGCTGCCTCATTTTTTTATTTGTAAATGAGCATCTAATAACGAATTACCATCAATGATAGGCAATGAGCATTACTTAAGAGTTTGGACCTGTATTGTAATAATGAAGTTAATGTTCTTACATGCTACTAAGCAACTATCTTTGGGGTGGACTGGAAATTGCTGGAACTACATTAAGCAAATGATGGGAGTTGAAATGAGCAGCACCCAAAAGGAAATGGTAATTCTGTCAACTGTTTGCTCTTGCAAAGAAAACAGATCAAATTATTTAGGCCTATATAATTGGATTATAACACCTGGAAGATACAATCAAGCACAATTGGACATCTATTTTTTTTTTTTAGGTGGCTTTGCTGGTCTCCAAACTAAAAGGAAAATAAACACCACCCAAACCTTGGCTGATAAAGCTATATACTGCATTATTCAGGCTGGTCTGGTTGCTCAACAAATTACTCATCACATTCAATCTAAAATATGTACTGAGTTTTTGGGGAACAATGCATGCACAATATATCATATCACTCATTATGTCAGAATTAAGTGCCTCAAAGCTATTAGTTTCTGAAATTGAAAGGTTATCTCAGTTCATTCACATGTATACTGTATATGTATTATATATGTATTATATATGTATTATATGTATTATATATATATATATATATATATATATATATATATATATATATATATATATATATATATATATATATATATATATATATATTACATTTTTTTATACATGTTTCATAATTAATGTCTGGGAAAGGTTAGTATAAGCTATGTCCAATGTGTGCAAAATGTCATTAAAACAAATAGGGCAGACAAAAGGAAAAATTTAAATGCTTAAAAAAGAGGAAAGGTTTCATAAATGATCTGTACCATCAAGCCAGTTCTTCATGTTAATTTAATGGGGACATTGACCGAGCCCAATAGTTTCATATTGATGTATACTCAAGTGGTAAGGGAACTTGGGAAAACCTTTGACCTGGCTCCCAACACACTTCCAACTGTATCTGGGAATGTAGGGCAGTCAGGGCGTGGCGTCACTGTCCCATCTGGATTTATCTGAAGGGGATATAGTAGCATGTTTCGTGGTGTAGGGGCATCACCAGGCTCAATATAGGCACGGAGGGAGTCTTCAGCCAGCATACGTACAGTTCGCACACATTCAATAGAGCCAGGATCTGAATTTACTGGTGCGGCTTCACCCATGTGCTCAGCCCATAGAGCACGTCGGAACATCCCTACATCTCCCTGTGCAAGGTTGCTACCCGATTCAACATGCATGGGTTGAAAAGATCCAGCTGCAATTTCAGTATCACGGTTACCACTCAGTGAACGATCATTGATGTTGGCTGAACCAATGATGATATACTCATCATCAAATATGGCCATTTTTGAATGTACATAAATCATAAGGCGGCGATTGGCAAAAGCTAAAGTTGTTGAGGGGTCCTCTGGAGATACAAGCTCTGGGGGAACTGCTTCAGGAGGTTCCTTTTTCCCTAGACACAGGAAGAGAATATAATCCTGAGGGTGGGCATCTATCCCGGCCTGCTTGATGGCTGCTGCTACACGGCTGTACATCATCTGCATGGTACGCAGCTGCCAGTGCAGCATCTCTTGTGTTACCTGAAAAATGCAACATTGCACAATATTTTTAATTCGTTTCAATGCAGTTAACTTAGGTGTTCCGAGCTGTTAAGTGTAACTTAACAAAACGTATCAGATTCACTGACAATAACACAGTACTGATGATTGGTTCTGTAAAATGCTTACGAGAAAAATGTTAATGGGAGAAAAATTAATTGCTGCCAAATTACATAAAGTACTTTACTAACATTTTAATCATAATTAAACAAAAGTAAGTAAAAGATGACTTACTGTGTTTGATATAGAATAGTAGAACAGTGAAAGATTTTGGAGTTCTGTACGAGAGGGTGAAGGCTGGTTGGGATCAAATTAAACTCTTAACAAGGCTTTAATATTATGTAACAATTCCCCAAAAAAGCCTTTGGTAATAAAACTAATACTTATTACCATGGTATGCAACCATAGAGTAAATGTATAATTTTTAGAGCTGTACTATTCAGTTATGTTTTTAATGATAGGTGCTACTGTTCCTATGAGAAGGTCTTTGCAGTCCCAACAGAACAAAATTTCAATTGCCGCAGCTAGGATACTTGTTAACGTAACCTCTAATTCACGTTGTATATTTCTTGACCCTGCATGTAACTATTTACTAATCATTAGTTATCCTGTCAGATGGCTACCCCCCCCCCCCCATTGTCCCAAGGAGTAGGTATGTACATATCAGCCGAGCACTTGTGTTCTGTCTACCTCAAAATTAAGTTGGAGATGAGCCTTATTCAGTAGGAATGTGGCAGCATCACCACCGACCACTGTGTGTTGATTTCCCATTGTCTGGGGCAGGAAGCTCATTGAGGTCCCCATCATCTTCCCAAGAATGTATTCCTCAGAATGCAAAACAAACTGTACTAAGGATAATCTCGAAAAGCCAAAAGCGAGGCCTCTACTCTTCACTGCTCTATTCTGCACTTTCTTTTATTCTTTCACTCCAGTAAAACTACTAAATAAAACACGAAGCAAATTACATTAAAATTCATCTACCTTAGTTTTGAATATTTAGTTTGGTCATACACAGGAACACCAGTAAAATTTCAAGAGAAACACCTACAACATAAATACATTTTACATACATACATAAATACATACATTAAACTTGGTATACATGAGATGAACAGCTCTCTCACCTTGTCTGCAGGTTTGCCTTCGGGGAACATTGGGATACAAATGTATGCGACAAAGCGTTCTCCGTTCTTGATCTTCTCCTCAATCTTCGTAGCAATCTCCAGAGGAACAAGGTTGCCAGACTTGGCGTCACGGCACTCCGGCCACATGTGACTGCTGCCTATGAAGTACTGGTTCTCAATGTAGATGCAGCGTCGAGCCCGTCGGATATGGTGGATGTATGCACGGTGAAGGCTGTTGTCGAACGCACGGCCTTTCTTCTTTGTTAGTCCCGCAGCAACTGACCAATCAAACTGAGCCGAGTCAGTGTTGATGGATCGGAATATTTGCACGCTCCAACGGTCAGGAGCAGTTGAATAGTAGTCCATGGCGATGCCATCCATTTGATTCAAAGGAACAATGGCATCCATGTGGTCTGCTGCTTGTTTTCGCCAACGCTGCAAGAAATTCATCAAGACATCATGAGCAGCTGGGCCTTCTATGCGACAGTGGATATCATGCCAGGGCTCCCGTGGTCCATTAGCGCTGGTTAGGGTCGGAAATACGCGATTACGGAAGTCATTCTTGTGTTCTTTTACTAATGTGCTGAACAACGGGTGGCCAGGAGAGTCGTACCGGCCACCCGTTAGGTCCAGGCCCCCTACAAAGGCTACCACCTTCCTCTGACTTGGCATTTCTTGTATGGGTGCATCTGCAATGACACATTTCTGGTGGTGTGTGTAGCAAAGTGAAGTGAAGTGCGTCTTCGTAGAGAACATGTCCTTTGTGTAGCGGTCTCGAGGAGCCAACACAACTACAACAGGAGTGCCCTTGAAGAAATTGCAGGTTTCTTCGTCTTCAGTACTCATTGCACCAGTCTTACGTAAATCATTTGAAGTAAGCTCGTCCCATAAGAGTAGACGAACTCTTACACCTTCGTAGGCTTTTTGCTTGAGCATCTCGCCAAGAGAGCGGTTGTCGTCACCCTCATTCCTCAGCAGAGCAATCTTAGCACTCACGCTCCACCCAACAATGTAGATAAATTGAGTAGCTTCCATGATGGTATGGTAAATATCCCTCCATGTACTGCGCGGCAGATAAGGATTACCATAGTAGTCTGCAAGAGGTAGTGGAAGGTAAGGGCAGTGTGTATCCTGATACAGCCTCACCTCGTTATTGTGGCGGAGGGGAAAGAGACACATGGGGACTTCAAACGAGTGCTGTACAGCCTGTTTAGGGTAGTAAAGCATAGATAGGGTGAGAGTACCAGCTCGTTTGTTCTTGTTTTCCCGTAACAAGTCAAAGGTTCCGCTTACTCCATTCTCCGTAACCAAGGTACTTACTGGAAATGAAACAGAGCCTATCTGCTCTGAAGAGATAAAATCCTTGTCTCGAACAGTGAAGGTGATGGAGGAGACATCATGGCAAATGTCGACTCTGAAAGTCTCGTCCCAAATTGGGCTGAGATCATTGTCGATGACTTGGGTGGTAGCAACCTTCCAAGGTTCTCCATCGACATCCTCCAGACTCACTACAACGAATGGATCCGACACATCCTTCTTGCTAATACTAAGGATTGAACTGTCCAGGTTGGGCAAGTTGTTGGCCCGCACCAGTGTGAGGTCCAGCACACCATGTAGGAATGCCATGTCGCTAAACGAGTTAACTAAGTCACTTGTATCGCCGTACTTGGAAATTTTTCTCGACACACGTTCTTTGAGCTCGGTGGCCTTGGTCCACGCACGGTCCCCAAACGTCGGGTCTGGCTGGTCTCCTGCGGTTGTGAAGGACGCGGTTACTTTGAGGGTTCCAGCTTGAAAGCCTTTATGATTCACTAGAGGAAGCTCCGCTTTGTGAGACGTTATACTGCCTACAAAAGTATGCACTGGAAGAAAACAGCTACCAATTGTATCTGACGACAACAAGTCCCTGTCTTTCACTGTAAACCTCAGGCCGGCTACGTCCTGACTAACATCGGCGGCTATTTTAAAATACCACTTGGGATTGAGACAATCGTCTATAGTGAATGTTTTGCCAATTTTAAAGAGGCTACCACTGCCCGTCTGCACTTCGACCAGACAGTAGGGGTCACTCTTGTCGTCTGGGCGGAGGAGGCTCTGGTCGAGGTTCGGGAGGTTGCAGGCCTCCACTACCACCACCTCGAGGCGACCACACAGCACCACCATGATGCCGGGGCTACGTGCAGGCCGACACAACACATGATGACCGCTCTCCTGCCTCACACACACACACCGCTAACTCCACCCACCTGAAACATGCCACTAAGTGTTACACATGTGTATGCGTGCACTTGTACCCCCACCAACGATTTCTAAGCTATACAAAGAGCATAATACAAAATACTATTCAAATGTACACAAATATACAGCACAGCCAAAAATACTATTTAATGCTACTCATATTGCCAAATCTCTGTAAACAAAGCTACCTATTTACACATCTACATATACAGATCTAATGATGCATGTCACACTAATAATATGTAAAGCCATGACCACTACCATTACAAGGAAGGTTAAATAAAGTGAGGGGGGGGGAAGGAACAATAAGGTGATGCCACATACATCGGGCCCCTCAGCTCCAGTGCAGCTCCAGGTCTTACTTCATCAACCTCTGCTGCAGGTTAATGCAACTCGGACTTTTCACTATGAAGACTACAACGTCAAAATTCTGGTGATTTAGTGAAATTAATACCGCCACAGTACTGACCCCTCCCCCCAGTCACTACTGAGCACCGCGCTCACCACTAGTTCGATGTTCCAAGTTCGATGCGCCAAGATTCCAACGCCTCTGGATTTGCCAAACAGTTTCGAATGTTACGTTTGTCATCTCGTGAGAACAGGTAGTTAGAGGTGGGGGAAGGAGGAAAACGGGGGGGGGGGGGGGGGGGGGGGGGGGGGGGGAGTCAAAAGTGTATTATACACCGGCACTAAAACTACACTATTCTTGTATTAGACGGGTGTGTATGTGTATATTATATATATTATATATATTATATATATATATATATATATATTATATATATATATATAATTTCTTTAGAGTCTTTCCTGACTCTAAAGCCATTCTCCCATGGCTTCGAATTTTATTTTGTGTTTATATATTTAAAACATTGTTTACATTCCCTTTGTTATACCTTTATTACATTTGTATTCATCAATCGAGTCACTATAACTCTTCATCTTTCTAGATATTGTAAATTAGGCTTTTGAAATGTGTCTTCATCAACGGGGTCTCTTCTTCCAGGGATCACGTTCTCATCCTTCTCTTTATCAGTTTAAATGAATGCACGTTCCAAGGTAGGGAGGGAGGGAAGGAGGGAGGGAGGCAGGAGCCAGGGTAGGGAGGGAGGAAGCAAGGCAGGAGCCAGGGTAGGGAGGGAGGGAGGGAGGCAGGAGCCAGGGTAGGGAGGGAGGGAGGGAGGCAGGAGCCAGGGTAGGGAGGGAGGGAGGCAGGAGCCAGGGTAGGGAGGGAGGCAGGCAGGAGCCAGGGTAGGGAGGCAGGTCAATAAGTCACCAATATTGGCACAGACTGTCACCTGGGGCTCGGCCACCACCATCTTCTCTTTTCTTAAACAATTCGTGAATCTGACAAATGTTAAAGATTTTCACTTTAGTATTTATTTTCTGTAGTATTGACTGTTCCTCACGTTTCGCTCCAGGACGGACCGAAACGTGGTCCTGTCGTCACTTTCTTGACGTGTGGTTTGGTCGTCCTAAAGTTCTCTCTTCTCAGAGTAAACGAGTTACCTCGAGGGTAATAATCTTGAAGCTCCAAAGGTCTTCCTTCCTCCTCAGCTCATTACTTAGGGGCCAGGAATCATCCACTTGCGAAACCTGTACATCTTTCCTCGAACATCGCGATTTAATATATATCTATTAAGATTTTTGAAACTTTCGGGTCCGGAAGTTGACACGTCAATTTCCGACAATTTTTTTTTTCACCAGCGGCTGTTGCAGTCTCGTAACATATAGCTGCCATTCTGATACCAATTACATATAATGAGAAAGTAATTTGAGGCAACGAGGGGGGTCTCGAACCTGCGTTTTTTTTGTGATTCCCAGACGCAACTGGGACCTCCAGACCTCCCCAGAGAACTCAGTGGAGTTCCGGGTTGGTTGGTTATTGTCCTATCGTGCCCGGGAGAGTCTGGGAATAACCAGGACGCTGGTTCAAGTCATCTCGTTTACCCAAATACCACAATTGTTTACCCAATTGTACTTTGCCAACCCATATGAGGGTGAGACAAGACAAGAGGTCAAGCTCCAAGTGTTCCATCATCTCCCTTTTTTTTGGATATTTATTTACTCCTAAACTTTTTCATGCTTGCTACACGCACCAGTCCGTCCTGCAGGACCTCACAGCCTTCCACAGCGAGAGGAAGAAATACTTCCTCACTTCTCTCCTCTACATTCTGTTGCTAGTTGATATACGAGGCAGCAGATGCCTCTTGCAGGAGGAGGAGGAGGAAGAACTAAACAACGAAGGGAGATGACACACACAAAAACACCCGCCAAGTTGGGAGATAAAGACTTGACGTAACTGGCTTTACTTTTCTTTCTTAGCGGGACTGCCAGGAGTCCCCGGGAGAGATGAGGGAAGGGACATGAATGGAAAGGGAGATGATGATAGGGACATGATTGATGGGAGAGATGAGGGAACAAGGGGGAGAGAGGAGGGTAGTGCAGTGTCACTCACAGTGTTCCCGCCCTGACCACGGCGTCACTCACGGTCTTCCCGCCCTGACCACGGCGTCACTCACAATGCAAGACTAAGCAACTACAGTGTTGCTCCCCACCCTCCCCAACCTCACAGTGCTGCTCCCCACCCTCCCCCAACCCCACAGTGCTGCTCCCTACCTTCCCCCAACCCCACAGTGCTGCTCCCCACCTTCCCCCAACCCCACAGTGCTGCTCCCCACCTTCCCCCAACCCCACAGTGCTGCTCCCCACCTTCCCCCAACCCCACAGTGCTGCTCCCCACCCTCCCCCAACCCCACAGTGCTGCTCCCCACCCTCCCCCAACCCCACAGTGCTGCTCCCCACCCTCCCCCAACCCCACAGTGCTGCTCCCCACCCTCCCCCAACCCCACAGTGCTGCTCCCCACCCTCCCCCAACCCCACAGTGCTGCTCCCCACCCTCCCCCAACCCCACAGTGCTGCTCCCCACCCTCCCCCAACCCCACAGTGCTGCTCCCCACCCTCCCCCAACCCCACAGTGCTGCTCCCCACCCTCCCTCAACCCCACAGTGCTGCTCCCCACCCTCCCCCAACCCCACAGTGCTGCTCCCCACCCTCCCCCAACCCCACAGTGCTGCTCCCCACCCTCCCCCCTCCCCACAGTGCTGCTCCCCACCCTCCCCCCTCCCCCCAGTGCTGCTCCCCACCCTCCCCCCTCCCCCCAGTGCTGCTCCCCACCCTCCCCCCTCCCCCCAGTGCTGCTCCCCACCCTCCCCCAACCCCACAGTGCTGCTCCCCACCCTCCCCCAACCCCACAGTGCTGCTCCCCACCCTCCCCCCTCCCCACAGTGCTGCTCCCCACCCTCCCCCAACCCCACAGTGCTGCTCCCCACCCTCCCCCAACCCCACAGTGTTGCAGCCCCCCCCCCCCAGCAATAAGGGGTAATGGGGAGAGTGGGGATGAAGCACCCATCAACATGCCCAGTGCACCTGGGAGCGTCTACCGTGGGAGGCTGAGGGCAGCTCTTCCAGACCGCCCCTTCTCTCCCACCTGATGAGCCGTTTACGTTACGGATCCCACCGATCCGTTAAAAATGCGACGCATTAGTCAACTTTGAAGCCCAGTAATATTGACGTTTTTTGTATGTATCGGCCGACGTAGTTAGGTGAGTATAAATGGGTCCGTATGGGTTTGGTTAGGCTTAAATGTTACATTTTTTTTACGGACTTTCAGCCCGCACAAACGCACACGCAGCCGCGCACACAAACACACACACACCTCGTATACCACATTCATAAGACCAATCCTGGAGTATGCGGCCTCAGAATGGAGCCCGTACCTTGTCAAGCACAAGGCGAAGTTGGAAAAAGTTCAGAGGTATGCCATTAGGCTAGTTCCAGAACTAAGAGGCATGAGTTACGAGGAAAGGCAGCGGGAAATGCACCTCACGACACTGGAAGACAGAAGAATAAGGTGAGCCATGATCACTACCTACAAAATTCTCAGAGGAATTGATAGGGTAAATAAAGATACACTGCTTAACACGGATTGTACGCGAACAAGGGGACACAGGTGGAGACTGAGTACCCACATGAGCCACAGAGACGTTAGAAAGAACTTTTTCAGTGTCAGAGTAGTTATCAGATGGAATGCATTAGGCAGTGATGTGGTGGAGGTTGACTCCATACACACTTTTAAATGTAGATACGACAGAGCCCAGTAGGCTCGGAAATCTGTACACCAGTTGATTGACAGTTGAGAGGCGGGACCAAAGAGCCAGAGCTCAACCCCCGCAAGCACAACCAGGCGAGTACACACCCACCTGCCTTCCAGGACCACTGGAACCACTAGGCTGAACAAATGTGTATTAATGGAACACGCTTTCCAGCAAGATGGGAGCCCACGAGACCCGACGCAGCCAGGGCCCGTGGGCCCAGGTCCCCACACACCACTGACAGTCCCTCGGGGGGTCAATACTCCAGGGTGGTGTATAATGATCCCGTAGGTGATCATTATACGCTCTCCACCTCATGATAAGGCGACTCCCAGAGCACCCAATTGGAATATCTTCTGCCAGCACCTAAGGCGGGCACCCCACTTGACCACGTCACTACTGAGAAGCCTACAGGAGGGGGGGAGGGGGGTGTCCCCACTACTGAGAAGCCTACAGGAGGGGGGGAGGGGTGTCCCCCACTACTGAGAAGCCTACAGGAGGGGGGGTGTCCCCACTACTGAGAAGCCTACAGGAGGGGGGGGGTGTCCCCACTACTGAGAAGCCTACAGGAGTGGGGGGGGGGGTGTCCCCACTACTGAGAAGCCTACAGGAGGGGGGGGGGGGTGTCCCCACTACTGAGACGCCTACAGGAGGGGGGGGGGGTGTCCCCACTACTGAGAAGCCTACAGGAGGGGGGGGTGTCCCCACTACTGAGAAGCCTACAGGAGGGGGGGGGTGTCCCCACTACTGAGAAGCCTACAGGAGGGGGGGGTGTCCCCACTACTGAGAAGCCTACAGGAGGGGGGGGGTGTCCCCACTACTGAGAAGCCTACAGGAGGGGGGGGTGTCCCCAC